TAGTCATAATTAAAGAACAAAAGCAGTGTGAAAAGGATTATGGTCTAGAGGCTTATTGCAGGAATGATAAGCATTTTAATTATATTATTGTCGTGTTTATATCAGCACATTAATGACTTTACCTGTTCTTGCTTCTACTTTAGCAAACTTGAGATTATTACACATGTTGCACTGATTTCTACGAGCCCAGTTCACATTTCCACACCTAAAAACACATCAATAATGTTTAAAACAGCCAAGTTATAACTGTTTTCAATATCATGCAAACTCAGTATATGCCAGCTGAATGCTAGTTGCTGTTTTTGCTTCCACAATCAAAATAATCAGCTGATATCTTTTATATATTTGACTGGTGGCAATAGAAAAAAACAATTAATGCTAATGTTAGCTTGCGACTTCAGGGTCGGCATAATTTTGAAAATTGCTGTTAACAAAACGACATGTTTTCTTGGGCTTAAATAAGTGATAATAACACAAGAATATTACATATTGTATTCATATCCTGACAAATCCCTGACCGAAACTAGGTTAAAAAGCATTAATTGGGTAATATGRTCTTATTTTTTAATAGTATTACTTTGAGCAAATCCAGTCCTCTTCACTGAACAGTCCACCGCTTTTATTGGCTCCTTGTTTGCCAACCCTCATGCCACTTAACTTGATRGTATCTACTTTGGCTTTAACTACAGAAAAAATAAATAAAGATTGATCACAATCATCTTTACTGATTAACCTACTTGCCAATGTCTCCAAGACAACCACAATGATAATACTTACCTATGATAAGCTGGATTTGTTTTGAATCCAAGACACTTTAGCAGTGGCACAAAATCAACCAATCAGAAACGATTGTTTGGAATATGACGAATGATGGAAATGGTGTTTTCCCGTTGTAAAAAGTAAATAATTGTGTTTGTCGTAGTGGCCTCTAGGAATGGATCTAAGTGAAGTTCTCCAAGAGCCTATTCTTGGGGTGCATGTTACGTCATAGCCGCCATGTTGGTCGACAATAACAAAGCATTTATTACTCATCTGATCTGTTTCTCTTTAGAACAACCAACATGGCGGCTGTTTCATCGTTATTTATATCTCATGGGATTTTGAGTCGTGGTAGCACCCCAAAAATGCACCTCTCTTTGAATTGGCACAGTAAAATCATGTAGTCAAGTGATACACATGAAAACAATTAGCAAAAAAACAACAACAATAAAACGCCCCCCAACGGCCCCGTCATTACATGTGTTGTTCAATCACAACAAACAACTCCAGTTTGAATATCACATTATTCTGTAGTTTCTATACATTTGTAACACAAATATTGACAGAAACTAATAACAATGTACAGGAAGCATATGAACTTGATTATTTTAATATATAAGGAGTAAATCTTTGTTAAGGAATGTCTCAAAGATTTTTAATACCTTTGGCCTTTCCACACCGATTGCATGAAGTCCTTCGAGCGAAGTTAACATTCGCGCAGCTAAAAAACAAACGAAATGACACTATGATAAGCTGAAGACCTTACTGGCTGGAAAAGTCAAGGGTTTAAGCTTACCTTTCGTCTGCACAGACCCAATCTCCGTCAGACATTTTCATTCTTGAAGAAGACATGTTGAAACTCTTGTGTTGACGATTCCATTCACCCATCACCCAGACTGCATCATGGGTAATACACACAAATGAGGACTGGCACTAGCAACTTTTGCTTCCCTTTTCTTCCCATTTTATTTCTCCCATTTTTCATTACACAAAATATTTTTCTTCATTTTAACTTCTATGCTATTCTTTCAAATTGACTAGCAAAGAGGTATTTTTAGCAACAGTCAGAAATCCTTTCTCTGAATATTGTAAATAAAATACCCTAGAAGAACGCTAATGGAATTTAAGCTTCGTGTAAATGTAAGCTTTGTAAACGTTTTCAAAAGTTTTGAATCTTTTAGTTAAAACTTACGTTACATTGAATTAAAATTTAATTWAAAAATTCCCCTAGTACCCAGTTTCCCCTGCGTCTGGGCGTTTTCAAGATGGCGGACGCGGAGCATTGTGAAGGGCCAACACAAGTCCTTAATTATTTCGGACAGTTGTCTTCTTTTACRTTATACTTCACACAGGGGATCGAGATCTTGGAGTATTACACAAAAGTAAGTCATTTCTGTTTTAAATTCCTATGGAAGTATGTTATTATTTTTGATAATGAAGTTTGTTTATTGTGAAATCTGAGGTTTGTGACATAACTTAACTTATATGATGAATGATTTTCAGATTATTTCTACTCCCTGTTCTATTCTACGCACAAACATAATAACGTAATTATTTCCTCGTGCTCTTGTTCTGTTACTTTTAGACTTTATTCTAGCTTTGCTGCCTATGAAACAAAGATAGTATTATTTATTTATCTCGCCCAGCTGTTTGACATGCCTACTTGTAAGCTTACTATAATTATAAGTTTACTTTTAAAAAGTCTAGCCATTTGCACTTTTTTAAACCATTTTCCATAACATCAATATCCAAGCGTTCAAACAGAAAATAAAAAGATAACGACCCTAAGGTGATATTCGTCTTACTATCTCCATTTCAGGTACCATTTTACCATGTACTGTTCGAGATAATTCTTGTCTGTTGGATTCTTTGGTTGCTTGTGTCAAAGAGTTATCGTTTCAGAGAACAATCTCTAGAGCTTACAAAAAAGGTAAGCTACAATAAATATAATAATAAATTACACTTATTAGATATATRAAGGTGCAGAGTTACAGTGTCGACTGCACCCAGACCATTATTTATTTTAGATTATTGAATGTCACATTCAATATTATTGTTTAATTTCACTTGCTTTCCTTTTCTGTCTTGTGCGGGATACTCACAATTCATTAGCTGAATCACAAGACAGCACATGATGGTCAGGGTTTGACCACAGTTTGAGGCAGATAATGATATTCAAAGACTTTTAACAGTAAGTTGATTGAAGCCCAGCAGTACTTTTGATTATCATCAGATTACATGATATTTTTATGTAGGAAGAAGAAGAACTTATAGACGAGTGGCAGCCAGAGCCTCTTGTTCCAGCACAACCACTCTACTCACCTGAAGTGCTTCATTCAAAGATAGTCAGTGGGTAGGTATTATGGATAGCTATGGGGTAGTCGGTGGGTAGCTTTAAATTATTGTAGATAGCTGTGTATGGGTAATGGGCATTTGTATCAAACAATAGGGATAAGAGACAGGGCTAAGGATGGGGATGAGGCTTTTTCTCCTTGTTCAAGTTCAAATCCACCTCACACCACCCATGCTAACCCTCTTCATAAGGAACATACCATAGTGTACTGTCATGATATAATTTTAATTTTCACTTTTTATTTTCCTAGTATCTTAGTCTAAAACATTGTTTTTTTTCAGTAAACCTGGCCACAAACTAAACATAGATGGTAAAGAATACCTTAACTTAGCGACATTCGATTTCCTTGGATTTGTTGGAAATGAAGAAATAGAGGTAACCCTTTGATTTTTATAAATGCATAAGACTGTTTAGGCTTTGAATTACGTAATCCTATTGATCTTTATCTTGTAGAATTCAGCAATTCAGACATTACACAAATATGGAGTTGGTTCTTGTGGCCCTCGAGGTTTCTATGGAACAATAGGTTAGTCAAAAAAAAATGCAGGAATTAACATTAACCGTAGTTAATAGTTATTTATGAATGAATGGGAATTAACAGTGGTTCCAAAGAGTGGCTTTTCTTCCACTGAATTCCAATTGGATTAGGAGTTGATTTTTGTGGAGGTAGGAAAAACTGGAGTCAACCAGGAGAAACCCTTAAAGCAAAGGAGAGAACCAATAAGCAACTCAGCTACTCACTTATGAAGCTGAGTCTGGAAATCAAACCAGCAGCGCCTTAGTGAGAGGCAAGAGATCTCATTACTAATGCCACCTATTGCTTCACTACAGCTCATATTTATCATTCTTCAAAAGTGATTTGCTATGCTAGATAAGTGCTGTACATCAGTAGGTATCATCTTTACCCTAGTATTATGTAATGGTTGTCAATTATATTTTGATATGCAGATGTTCATCTTCACCTTGAAGAGCGGCTGGCCAAGTTCATGCACACTGAAGAAGCTATCTTGTACTCCTATGGATTCTCGACTGTCGCCAGTGCTATTCCTGCTTACTCCAAGAGGGGTGATGTTATATTTTGGTATGTCATTTTTTAAACAACTTAACAGAGAATGCATATGTAGTTCTGGGCTCAAAGTATAAGGTTGGCAATGGCCAAAATGCAGGCCAAATGTTGCGAATGGCAGACAAAAATTAATAAATTAAATTGCCAAATTAAAGATAAAATGGCAAGAGTTATTGTTAACCAAGTGAACTTCCTTTTAGTCCTCCCTGCATAACAAAATTAAGGTGTTACAATAATGAACTGGACAATGAAGAAACAAAATAAATCACAAGATGATAATAAAGAACATTGAAAACCTTTTATGCACATGTTCACTATATATTAAAAAACACAGAGAATAAACTGGGGTTTTTTTACTAGAAAGTTCAATGTAAGCTATTCTTTTTTATTTGTACATTTGACAGTGACAAGAATGTCTGCTTTGCAATTCAAAAAGGAGTAGAAGCATCAAGGAGCAAAGTTATGTGGTTTGAGCACAATAACATGGAAGACTTGGAAAGGCTGCTTAAAGAACAACAGGAAAAAGATTACAAGGTTATCATATAAGCCCGGGGAGTGGGGGGGTACTCTTGCCAGTTTAGGGTAGGAATGTGAAACTGAGCCCTGACCTTGTTCCAGAGTAAAATCRCTGAAATTCATACCCTATTCCAGAACAAGATCGCTGAAAATCACAACCTGTTCTGGTATTGCGAAAACGGATAACCTGTTCCAGAGGAGAGAGCGTGATTTCATATACCCTGTTCCAGAGCGAGCACAATTTTATATACCCTGTTCCAGAGTAGAATTGCTGAAAACCATACCCTGTTTGGCAGCACATACCCGTATGGCAAATATAGGGGAGTGCCACCCCCCTCCCCCCGGGTGTATAAGTTACCTTATAAATATGGTTACCGATCACTTACTGACACCTCACTGTACAGTACAGGTTGATCATAATAGCCTATTATAATAAAGTATTGTTCTATATATTGCCCATTTACAGCAATTATTTCCAATACACAAACTTGATAGTTGTGAGTTGCTCTTTGGAATTCGGTTTTTCACTGCCAACAGTCAAAAACATAAAGGTTATGACTGAATATTTTTGATTGATGACAGCAAGAAAAAACACACACGAATTTCAACCATGCAGTTAGCAACTACTGAGTTCATATAATATTGAAAACTGCTATAAATTATGCATAAGTTTTGAATTTCGTGGTTTCATGGATATGTTTTAATTTTTTTTTTTTTTCCTCAGAACCCCAAGAAAGCTAAAGTCACTAGAAGATTTCTCGTAGTAGAAGGACTGTACATCAACCATGGAACTATTGCTCCTCTAGCTGAATTGGTAAATAAAACACTCAAATTGTGAAAACAAGTCATATTCAGTTGATGTTGTCGATGTCTGTGCACCATATTATGAACAAAGTTTCTTATATTCGCCACAATGTGAATTTAGTTTGTTTGATGTGTTGTTCTCTCCTATGCTACAAGGGTTTCTCAGGGTTCTCCAGTTTCCTCTTTCGGTAAAAATCAACATGTGAGTTGAGCACTGTGTGCATAGAATATTGAATGAAGTGGTAGTGCGGTTGGGCGAAAAAGTGTCCTCAATTAGTGCGAAACCATTAGAACAACTAGACACTTAAATAAAAGTGATTTATTTATTTTATTTTTAGATTGAGCTGAAAAAGAAATACAAAGTTAGACTGTTTATTGATGAGAGCTGCTCATTTGGTGTTCTTGGAACAACAGGCAGAGGAATTACTGAGCATTTTGATATTCCTGTAAGTAGAATGCTTTAGGATAGTAATGCAGTGAATGGGTAGTTGTTGGTATTGTTCATTTTTAGGAGCATATTTTAAATTTCAAACATCTATTGCCTTCTCACCAACATTGATTTTACTATTAGATCAAAGAGGTTGATTTAATCAGTGTTTCCATGGAGAACTCTCTGGCAACGATTGGTGGATTTTGTTGTGGGACATCATTTGTGGTTGATCATCAGGTAAGACCACTCTTTAATCGACTTGTATTTGGTGGTAATAAAGACCTGTGTATCATTCTTGTGCTCACTGTTTGAGTTACAAAGCATGTTARATATATAAGGGGAAGCTTTGCAGAGGCCAGAGGGGAGAAACTTGTCACTGGAATGAAGTTGTTCAACTATTTACATGTCACACAGTGCAAACTATTTTGAARTTAGTACTTCAAAGGTGACTCTTCATTTGAATGATTTTTTGTAAATTTATTAAATACTCAGCATCATCTCGTTAAAWAATAATAGGTAATATATCTCTGTGCCCAAATGAACTTTAAATAATATAAAGTTCTCTAATTGAAATACTGTATTTGCTTTTTCCAGCGCTTGTCTGGTGCTGGTTATTGTTTCTCTGCATCCCTTCCACCAATGCTTGCCACAGCAGCRATTAGTGCACTTGATATAGTAGAAAAGAAGAAAGGTTGGTATAGGCTCTAGGTTAAAGATGAGGTGGACATGAGTTTGAGGGCCACAAGTTTATTAGTTGTATACTATGTCTGTCCGTCTATCTTTCTGTCTGTCTGTCTGTCTAGTCCACCACCCTCTGTATATTTTGCTGTCCCTCATTTATTTGAAAAAAACTCCCATTGGGAATAAGAGRGGTCAATATTTTGGGGCTAAGGATGAGCTGGTAATAAATTAATTCTCAGCTTTTTGTTTATAAATGTAATAACTGAAAATTTTTATTCCTCTATCAGATATATTTGAAGACCTAAGAAAGAAATCAATTCAAATCCATAAAGAATTGAAAGGGTGYGTATTTGAAATGTTCAACGAGATATCAGTAAGCAGCCAATAATTTGATTGAACCAAGATCTTATGATCGCTTTCAAAAGTATCACGGTCAGGCATAAGAGGCTAGCAATTTCAGGCAAACCATTTCAGGCAAACCATTTCAGGCAACATACTCTTTTATCCAAAATTCTCTCACTTTCATACATTGCCCACCTGCAATTCTATTGATGGTCATCATCACTGTGATCATGGAATTAAATTATTGTCTTCAATCTTGATACTGCTACTACCAAAAATATTAACTTCTGACTATAGTCCCCTTCACACTTCCCTGCACCATCTTGAAAGGTAGCCATGCCTTTGCATCGAAGCGAAACGAACGGTGAGCTTGCAATGATAGAGACGTGTGAATAAATTGTCCAGTGTTAAAAAAACGTCTCTATCATTATAAGCTCACTGTTTGTCTCGCTTCGATTTAAAGGTATTGCTACCTTTCAAAATGCTACAGGGAACTGCGAAAGGGACTTTTTCTATTGCATTTTTCCTAACTAATTATTCATACTCTGATAAATTTTTGTCGTGCCACCCATTACAGGATAAAGGGATTAGTTGTTGATGGTGAAGAGGTCTCACCCATCATACATCTGAGGTTAGCRCACCCACCTCAAGACAGACAAGAAGAAGAAAGAATACTGAAGCAAATTGTTGACATAGTAAGAACACATGAATTATTATGGGCAGCCAGGGTGGCRTAGCAGTCAGAGTGCACACAGGTTTGGGTCCCACTGGGCTTGGTGTTATTTGAGTAGAATTGCATTTTGGTTGTCTCCTGTCGTKYTTCGAGGGTTTTTCTCCGGGCTCTGCGTAATGTAGCAACGCTGAGGATGTAACATCAATCTTGTACCCAGAGGTCACATTCTGCACACATTCCTTGTGGTCAAAAACAAGAGGTTTTGGGTGCAGCTGCTTTTGAGATGGCATCTGGTCCTTGAATTGCAGACCAGAAGTTTCAACTGCGCATAGCTTGATTGAATGATTGATTGATGTAAGATTGACAATATGATTTGTTTCAAGGGCCTATAAATGCTACATATGTACATGTACAACAACTGGTTAGCCCATGACTTGAATGCTTTTACAACAATGCATATAATTAGTCACAGATCTTTATTACCTTGACCTAGACACTCGCCATTATTTTTGCCTTTGTTTATCTTTTAGGCATTTGGACAAAATCTGGCTCTGACTATGGCAAGATATTTAGATAAACAAGAAAAATTTCCTGTCCAACCAAGGTAGGGCTACAACCATTTGTTTTCAAGTTTGCTGCGAATCCCCCAGCCCTTCACAATTAAAAACAACATACCTTCACCTTACCCTTCCCACTACATAGCTGCAGCACTAGTYCATTTGGTTAGTACTTTCTCTCTATTTTGTTGCTGTTTAATGAGAAGTGGTAGATTTTTTTTTATGCTTCGTTTTACAGTATTCGAATAACTGTGAATGTACAGCTGACACAAGAAGAGATTCACCAAGCTGCTAACATAATCAAGGAAGCTGCAAACCAAGTTATGGCTTGAACAACTGATGCAATTACTAAGCTTACACACTATTCTAGGAGTCAATCAGTGGTCAATATCCACTATCAATGAATAATAATGAATCAAAAAGAGAAGCTGCAGTCTTGAGGTTAAAGAGGATGAGTCAAGTGAATGGGCAATAAACCTACTTGGCTCAGGGGTAATGTTCTCCCAGACCGCAAGTCATTCCCTAGAGTATAATTTCTTTGTTTAACAGTTGCACATAAGACAAATGAATATAGATACAACTCAAACAAAGAATCTTAATCTCAAGGGAATGACACATGGTCTGAAATGGGAAAACATTAYGCTGAGCATAGAATATCTATTATGAATTGACAATGACGGCAGACCATGTTACATTGATCATGTTATAGGTGCCTGCCAGTGCTCATCTTAAACCTTCTTCTCCAGTGTGACAAAATTGACATGAATGGATCATAATTTACATCAGCTACTGCAATTCCCAACCAAAATAAGATGTATCTACCCCTTCATTTGTCTACTTGAGTGCAGTACCAAGCTACAATGACCAAATTAAATAAATATATGAACTGGAACAACTTAAATTTTCCTTGTTTGTTATTGAAGTAATATTGTTGTCACAATTCTGAAGGTTGTTATTGTTGTAAATTCAAAACTGAAATTAAATCAACTATAAACACCTTTTTAATAAGTTTGGACTCTAGTTTTTAGTTTTTGCCTGTTGTTACTTGACCTAATGATAAGTCTTCTATCATTAGATGTTATTATCCATGTGTCTATACCAGAACGATCAATGAGATCAATATTTTTATCACTCTGAAAGGCCAAACAATTAGGGCAGATTACAGGCTGTACACCTAACGATAACTATTAGTGCAGAGAAAGTTTGAAACATCTAAGACTCATGAACTTTATTTGAAGTGATAATGCTCTTTTATTTCATTACTATTTTTCAGGGCTATAACATTTCTTAAAAAMTACTCTGACTGCCTTGTGTTTTTTTTGGTCAGATTTTAAGATAAATGTATAAAAAGTATATTCAATTATAACATACTTATTTACCTCATCATAGTAGGGTGTTGCTAGGTATCAGTAGGTTGTACGTACCTCATCATAGTAGGGTGTTGTGAGATATAAGGAACTTGTTAAGTTTTATGTAGGTGAGCCCAATGTTTCTAATAAGAAAATCTCTAAATCCTAACTCAGTGAATATAATATTTGTTTATGAACTAATAGAATTTCCTCTTTCCCTGATTTCTTGTGARTAAGAGTGAATTGTATCGATGAAGGTCCTTAGCTTCTCTGGGTCATGATCAGGGTGCATCCCATGACCAAGGTTAGC